TGGTTGCATGTATCGTTGCACCTCAGGGCTAGTGGTCTCAAATCCACGTTGATTCCCAAAAAACAAAACTTTTCTGGTGAATTGATCCAAATTGGCAGGAGTCTGCCGAATCAACATTGCGCTGGCAAGCTGAAGCAGCATTCCCCACGCTGGGAGATACTTCATCTTGGAGGAGTGGGGCTTCTCAATGATCGCAATGGCTCCATTGGCAACGGCTACGTAGCCAATCTGAAATGACCTGTGGGCCAATATGTTGCCATCCTCTGTCTGTCGGTCACTGGTGTCAAAACCAAAAGGCTGGATCCTGTCACGTAGGGGAGGCCGACGCATGACAGAGAAGGTTGTCCATGGTGGCTCAAGCAAAACTGCTTTCAGGATGCCCTCTGCAATCAGATGAGTGATCCAGGCTGCAAGGTGAAGAAATTTCATGTTGTACTGCTCCGAGGAAGTGATGACACGGCTTGCTCCAGAAAAAAACTCAAGGAACTCTAAAGTGAAAGCCAGAGGCCGGCCTGGTCTGACAGGAGGAAGCTCGAAAACTTCCTCACCTACCTCCTCAAACGCATTCATCTTGGCAAGCAAGGCCTGCACTGGTGTGAGCGACTTCGTGTATGCACCCTTTGAGCGACAGCTGCGGAAAAGGACATGCTGGATCTCCTCATGTATCTCTGCTTGGCAAAAATCCCCTTTTGTCTCTGACGCGTCGGAGGCGTACACAGACCTGTCAAATTTTGCACCAAGGTTTGAGGGCATGCGTTGACCTCCTCATCCCTAATAAATCTCCATCCCTCAACCTGTCGTACCTCTTCCTCCTGGCATTGTCAAGCGGAAAAGTCTCATAAGCATCCAACCCCTGAAGCCACTCGGGAGGTAGGCCAGGACCAAGGGTATTGCAAATGGTCCTCCCTAGTCACCTTTATCTGATAGTAGTCCTTCCTGTCGGACACTGAAAGGGAGAGGCACTGGCTGGAGGGATCGAAAACAAGATCACAAAGGTCTGAACCTGAAGGGGTGACTGCAGGGCCCTTTGATGACGGCTTCGATTGCATGTCGGCCGCAGCGATCACTGATTTGGCGGTCGGTTGATTCATTTTTGTACGCGTTCAAAACGCGCACCTTCTCAAATTCTTCTCTCCTCTCTGTTTCCTGCTGGTGCAAAAGTATAATATATAGGAGGCCATTGCTGTCCCAAAGGCGGGCAAGCAGATGTATGGTTTCCTGATCATCACGCAAGCGAGCGAATTCCCAGGGCTCTGGTGCTCTGTCAAGCTTCAGAATCATAGCTTCTCTATGGGCCATTAGGATCATTAGGAAGTTCCCTGACAAAAACTCAGACACATCCCACTGGGCCTTTCCGCTGACCTTAAGGCGGGACGGATCAAGGTCTCGGTAAGGCTGCAACTCTGGATACCTTGGCTCATTGCGAGGCACTTCAAAACTTTGGAAAGACCTGTCGTATACCCCACGAAGCTTGAAACATTCAACCAGGTCAAAAAGCCGCGGAAAAAGCTCTGGATTCTTTCGTCCCGAACGCAGGGCCTCAAACTCAGCGTCCAGGCCGTCCGACCTCACAAGAGACTTAATCAAGCCATAAAACCTTCTGTGCATGGCGTTTGGTCTCCTCCACAGCTCCTCAAATCCAAAAATCTTCCCATCACTATGCCAAAAATTCAATGCCATCGCACTAACATGAACAGCTCTGTGGAGGAAGATGGAAACACCCTTCTTGCAAGAAGGAGATGTGGGCATCCGTTCGAAGATACCTGCTGAAGGCATTGGGATTGGGAAAAAGGCCGGTGCAAGTCTGCCTCTTTGGCTGCCCAACTTGGAGGTCTGAATGGAGAAGTGCAAAAATGCTGAAAAGGCAGTTCTTGTCCGCAGCACAGGTTTTGCCAGCTGAGTGCACCAAGAACGATAGCTGAAAAGCTGCTAGGGGGAGAGGCGGGAACTGGCTCATTCTCCTCAGGAAGCTCCTTACGAAAAACTTCACTCTGACTCCTATCTTGTTGAAAAAACGCATGCAAAACTGAAATAGGTGACTCCCTTGCAGTCCCCTCTGTGCCGTCTGAGTTTGTGGTCCGTGGCGCTTGGCTCAACCTCTTCTTCGAAAGGCTGGGCGCATGAGCTCATGCACGGCGATGCCATCTTCAGGCATCTGTTATGGCCTTGAGCCTCTTGGGAAACCTCGGGCCCTTTGGTTTCCTTGGGCTCGGGTTTTCGTCCTCTGCAGTCTGGCCCTTGGGGCTGCCATCCTGATTGCTCTGCGTGTCTGAAGCACCTCGAGCTCCTTGATATAGGAAAGGTTGGTCGAGGCCAGGAGCAGAGGAACCAGGGGAGAAATGTAGCCGAGAAGTCGTTGGATGCTGCCGCATCTATAGCACGGGCCAAAATCCACATAGCCCTCTGACCCCTGTAGCCACCATAGCGCTCCAGGTAGGTGAGCAGGGACACGTGGGCAGCTGCTAGCTCCTCTTCGCTCTTCGGGAGAAGTTTGGACGGGTGAAGCTTCTTGAAGATCTGTTGCTGGACCTGGAGAAAGAAGGAAGAGCGGTGACCGCCATGTTGCAATGCCTGGGCAAGTTTTACTTGCTATGACAACGGTTGCGCTCATGTGGGGTTGGGCAGATGTGGCAAGATGTTTAGCTCTCGGATGGGGAGCCTTGCTTAGAGCCGGAGAACTAATTGCAGCAAAAAGGCGTGACCTATTACTGCCTCGGGATGCCCAGGAAACAATTTGTTTCACTTTGCTGGCAATCAACGAACCAAAGACGAGGCACACGAGAACCAGCTTGTGAATGAGGTCATGTTAACAGCGGAATGGGAGGTTGTGAAGGCTTGGGCTTTTAAGAGCAAAACTCATATAAACCTCCTGGAGTTGAAGTCTGTGGAAAGGTTGGTTCAAAACAAAGCGAGGAAGAAGCTCTCCCTTGTCGACTCCAATGTGTCTTGAGGAGCTTTTTCAAAGGGAAGATCAGCTTCTCATGCTGTCTCCACTATCCTTCGCCACATCAACTCCCTTCTTGTTGCTGCTGACCTCTACATGATCAACCCTTTCTGCCCCACCAAGCTGAATGTTGCAGGTGACCCAACGAGGGATCAGACCCTCCGTCCTTTGTATGGATTTGGCCCAGAGATCAGATGTTTGACTTGGTTACTTTACCAAGACTCCGGCGCTGGGCTTCAAACTGGGCAAGACTAATCATCCTCCTCGCGTCCCCAAAAATCTTACTGCCCAAGGACAGGTCAGTCTTCCGCCGCTCCCTCATCTTCCAGCCACGTCCAAGTCTCCGGTCCACCGCCAACCGCCAGTGTCGATTTAGCTGTTTGGACTTCGACAGCACGCTGGGTTACCCAGGTGAAGGCGCTTCATCCTCCTACTCTCTGCCGTGCCATCCTCTTCGGCATCCCTCCTGGATTTTCCTCGTCCCCATCCTGTGGATTTTTACCCAGTTGGATTTTGGCCTTCCTCTTGGACTTTCCATCGGGGTCGGGTGCTGCTGCCTGCTGCCTTCTCGCTGCTGTGTTGTTTGATTGCTGTTCAGCCATGGTTTTAGGGCCTATGACTGGCACTGAAGGGCAGAAAGCTGAAGAGAGGGCAGCCCGCCTATCACTGCCGATTGGCAGACCTATGCTGGAGGTTACTGGACGCCTTAGAGAGCGATACTGGAGAAACTTTTTGGTCTGGACCAATAGTGAAGGAATCGAATTTGAAAGGCTGCTCTTAGCTTCCCATTTATATGTCGAAGAAATCAATTCGATTCTGGTGAAGTATGGCAGGCTTTCATATTTTGCTGGAAAGCCCTATACGGTTTTTGCTAATTATAAATTATAAGTTATAAATATGTTGAGTTCAAAGAAGCCTGTGCTACGACGTCGGTTGCAAGGCGCCCTGGACCACGCCACCAAGCTGCGAAATTAGATATACCTGACCTTTTGCAAGTTACAGGTTTAGCTTTTGGTGACAAGGCAAACTTGGTTTACCCGTTTCCCGCGAAGCAGGTGTGAAACCCTTGGATGTTGGCTCTCTCCGATCAGGGGGAGCAACGTGGCGTTTGCAGATGACTGAAAATGGTGAATATTGCCGGCGTAAAGACCGTTGGCTCAATATGAAGGTGATGGAGGTGTACGTCCAGGAGACCACAGCACTCCTCTGCCTGAAACGGATTTCAACATTTAGCCGCCAGAAGGTCCTTTCAGTCGCTCAGCTTTTCCCCACAGTTCTGGGCAGACGCACTGCATTCAAAGCTGCAAAATTGCCCAAGCAAGTATGGTATAAGCTCCACATACAAGCAGACCTTGGGAGGTAACGGAAGAAATGGGTAGCAGCTGCGTTTTTGTGAGACAATTGGGATTTGGAGAAAATAAGGGCGCTTGAACCGTTGGGAACAACTGTGATGGCAACCGTTTTGATCCTCAAGGTCTCCCAGCCCATGGAGACCCACCCAACTTGATGTGGAGCATGGGTAGCAGCTGCGTTTTCACCAGCAGCCTGTGAAACAATTGGGATTTCGAGAAAAGAAGGGCGCTTCAACCGTTATACAATATTATATATATATGTAATATTATATACATGATATATATACATATATAATAATAATATATTTATATATTTTATATATTGAATTTATATATGTAGAATATTTAAAATATCAAAATAAAATAAAAATAAATATAATATATTTATATATTTATATACATATATAACGAAAAAAATATTTTCTATATATTTAATTTGAATATTTTTTAAATACATATATTCATGTATATAGATTAATATATATATATATATTGTATATATACATATATATATATATTGTATATATATATATTTACACACATATATATGTACATATATATATGTGTATATATATATATGTGTATATATATATGTATATATATATATATTTACACACATATATATATTTTTAAATTTATATTTATATTTATACAATAAGTATATTGTCATATCGCTATCAAACAACCGATGGTTCTTGGCAGAGGTGATCGGCCTGAGTTGCGCCCGCGCCTTGGCGCGTCTGGGCCGGGAGGTGGTGCTCTGCGACCTTGGTGGAGCCGTTGGGGCAGGCACGGTTGGTGGTTGCTATGGGTTTTAATGGTGATTTCATGGGATTTGATGGATTTAATGGGTTCAAAACCCATCAGCCATAGGGATTTTGTGTGAACAGTGTGAAAAACTCTGGTTCATGATTCGATGTTTTTTTTACAAATGAATTTTAATAGGATTCTAACCATCAAAACTATGGGGATGTAAGTTGATATAAGTGATAAATGATGGAACCCGATTGTTGATGGGATTTAGTGGGATTCATGGGATTTCATGGGAATATAATTGGAATATTATTGGGATTATCATTTGAGCAGTGGCTCCTAAACCCTGGTTGGTTGATGATTAGTTCGAAACATTAACATGGGGAATCCCTGTCAACCAAGCAGTTCTTGCAGGATGGTCGTCAATCCACTGGGATTTATAGCCGCTATAGCCATAATAAGGAGTCCCATTGGATGGAGGACCTGAGGACCCATTCCACCCTGCCAGGCACTTCCAGCCGCAACAGCCGCTTGGTCGTTGCAGAGTCTCTCACATTTGATGTGTTCCAGTGTTCCAGGCAGCAGCACAAGAACTTCCAGATAAAAAAATGTTCGTCAAAGTCCTTGGAACTGGAACGACTAAGGCGAAGTGATCCATGCCGGGCTCTACTATCCTCAAGGCAGCCGTAAGGCAGAAAGATGCTCTGGGTGGTGAAGGGCTCCTTTGACACAATCTATGGTAGAGTTTGTGGTGAAACTGAGCCAAACAAGCTGTCAAAACAGTTCTAGGCTACCAATAGCAAGAACAGCCAACGACTCGAGGCAAAGCACTGTCTCCGTGGTTCAGAGATGCTACGACGCTTCTGTTTGGAGCGAGAGGTGCCACATCGTAGCTGGAAGCTGAATTCAGTTGAAGGAGGCATTGTTGGTGACCATTGCCGGTTTCAGGTTGTGTACCTGGCTATTCAGGATAGGTTCAGCTGGCAATTCAGGATCTTCTTAAAGCACCTGGCGGCCACTGGCGGCCACTGGCGGCTGCTGGTTTTGCACCAAGGCATATGTGGCAAACTCATCGTGGCGACTTCGGAAGCACAACTGCCTGAGCTCAAAGCACTGGAGATGAAGGCACGAACTCACGGGGAGATCGGGGAGGGGACTACAACCCCGCCTGAGAGCCAAGGGATCTACTGGTGTGCAGCAAGAGATAAGCACTGCTTCAAAATCATCAAAGTTTCCGACAGGAAAAACTTCTACCAACTAGTTTTATGAAATAAAAATCCGACTGACCATTCCAAAACTTCAGGTGTTTATTTTCCAATGGTTTTCCGGGTGTTTTCGGACCAATGACGATGAGGCTGCCGGCAACGGGGTGAAGTTGGAGCCCTTGAGCCCGCAGCAAGTGCAGCAGATGGAGCCGGAGGCTGGAGATGACTACCGATCCATTCAGACTATCCAGATAGTCAAAATGATATATGTATGTATATATATATAGAGTTCATGGATGTTAATTAATGGGTAAATGTTAAGACTCTTAAGATGTTGCTCATATTTACGAATATGATATACAACTTCATTACTGAATATTACTATCTTGTTTTTTTGTTGCACAGTTAACCTGCCAAGAGTCCTGGCATTACTCTGAGATCACAACGACCTCACTAGAACACCATTGGTCTGATGCCCAAAATTACCTTACTTCCCCATAGTTTGTGAAGTAAGTGATGGTAGCAAAACTCTGACCTTAGAAGCTTTGGAAACCTAGGTATTTGTGCCAGTTTGTTCCTACTCAGACGAAAAAAGGGTGCATCTAGAGGGCTGTGGCCAGTTTTCAATCACCAGGGTGGTTGGTTAAACGAAAAGCAGTACATGCTGGCAACACCCCATTCATGAAAACATCCTTCCCATCATCCACCATGGTTGGCCCCACATCTTATACTTGTAAAGTCATGGAAATGAAAAACATGGTAAGCCAAATCATCAACCATCCACAAGGAGGTATTAACCACTACATAAAAATGGGTGATTTCCTAAAAGCAGGGTCTTGAGAAACCCTGTACCCACCAGTCACTATATAGATTTTAAATCCATCAGTACTACAACCATCCATTAATAGGGGATCCACAATAATACCTTCCCACCAAGAGAGCCGGTATGGTCTAGTGGAGAAGACGGGATGTGTCAGACCCGGGTTCAATACCCGGGTGCAACCTTTGGCGGACAGGTGGGCCACTACCCCAGCCACATGAACCCCCCAAGGTGCCTGTCATGAAGAGATCCAATACATTCCACCACTAAGTAGCGTGAAGGCCAAGGGATTGATCAACTGTCAACAAATTGTACCCCATCGACACATTGTACCGCAAAAAAAACCACGAGGTCTACTGCGTGGAAGCTCTGCATTCTCCCCGGACTGGCAGCTTGGCATGGAAGAGGGGAGAAAGACTTGAAGAGAAGGTAAGGAGAGGGTAGGGAAGAGGCAAGGAAAAGGCAAGGAAAAGGCAAGGAAAAGCAAGGAAAGGCAAAACTTTGGCTTGGCAACAAATTGTGGTTTGCAACAATTAAGAAGACCTGTTCGACCAACAAGACTCAGGGACTACCCAACTAAAATGTGTTCTCAACTTCGGGAGTTGAACTCTCAATGTCTTCCAATATGGTTCAAAAGTTCAACGTCTTCATTTTAAATCGAAAGTTCCTCTGGAAGGCGCCTGAAACTTTGCCTTCTGCAGCAATCAAGGTATCGTGGACTCCCATGCTTTCATGCAGGCGCACAACGAGGGGTTTGCTTTTGGGCAACTTAGCATAGGAATACCTGAGTATGTCCTTCCTGAAGCAGATAGACTCTCAACATTTCAATCATATTTTCACGAAGTATCAATATTCATCAATATTTTATCTACTCCAGGATGATTATATATATATATATGTGCGTCTGTGTGTATACCTATCCTGGTGTATCCTATCCTGTCCCAGCCAGAGACATTTTCCATGCCAAGTTGCAGGCGTTGCTGGCAGATGCCGAGGAGTATGGTGCCACTTTGGCGTTACGCACACAGCTGCGAGGTGGCCAGGTCTACCAAGAAGGCTGGGCCTGCGGCCATAAGAAATTTATGGCTATGGGTGATGGTCAAATAATGGTTAAGAAAATCATCCGGATGCTTGAGGCTCACCCCGAAGTCTGGATGAAACTAACTTCAGAGTCAATAACTGTGAGGCTGAATCTCATGATGCCAATTGGTTAGCAAATCTACCGTCACCGCAGATGGTGCTGGCAGGTGTGATGGTGGAGCTTGAATCTGTGGATTCCGCTGATGTCTTTACGGTAGAGGACACTGGTGACAAGTGTTCGTGGTGCTTTGGTTTTGAGAAAACCCTCTACCCAGATGTTGACAGATGTTGACAACAATTCGACTTTAAAAGCAGGTGTTTGCTCATGTTCGATCGATGATTCGATGGTTGCTTGCTTGGTTTTGCTTGAGTTTGATTACTGTAGTTGTTTGGATTTGGATGCATTTAATTGATTCTTTGATTGGTTGTTATTGGTTATTGGCTTTGATGGGCTTTGATTGGCTTTGACTGGTTGATGGATTTCTCGGTTTGGTTGACCATTGTTGATTTCTTGATGATAGCCCCATTTCAAATCATGAAATACCAACTGATTGATGGAATCAATTTACTGTACCAACTGGTTGGATTGATTTAGGAATTTAGGTTTGTTTGAACATGGGATACCCCCAAATTTGATGGTTAATCATCTGCAACCTCCCAAATTGGATACAGGTTGTTATATTCCCGTGAAATACCCATTCAATCACCATTTTTGTTGGTCAAACGATGTTAAACGTGTTTCTCTACCCCTAACATCCCTTACCCCAACAAAAAGTCCCCAATCATCCCTAAGAAATCCCATGAGATCAGGCGCAGGCAGTGGTGAATTGCTGTGGCCTCGCGGCACCGCGGGTGGCGCGGTCCCTGGGGATGGAGCCGGTGCCCAAAGCCTTCTACTGCCGTGGCAGCTACTATGCCCTGCAAGGTGCCGCAGTGCCGCTGAAAAATGGGGGAAATTCGCAAAAAAAAACTGGGTATGGCTCGCTCGAAGGGCCGAAGGGATGTTTCATCCCTTTTTTTCGATTGACCCCCCATGAGAATTCCGTGTTTTTGGAAGATTTATATTTGAGGATCCATCAATGTACCTGATTTGCGGGTTAAAGTGCCCAGAATGGCGATATCATGTGGAGATCTACTGCAACCAGCATGATCTGCGGCTGTCAGGCGGCCTAAGACCCTTTTCCAGGTTGGTCTACCCAGTGCCAGAGCCGCAAACCAGCGGCTTGGGCGTGCATGCCACCGTGGACCTTCAAGGCGGCCGGGTGGGTTTGAGGATGGGGATTTTCACGAGTTACGATCCATGGCCATTGAGTGGGGGGAATATGATGGAATATGATCATCAAATTTTGGAAATTTGGGGTTGACCAACCCAGATCACAGCTGTGTTTGACACTAACGTGTGAGCACCAATGATGTCATTAGTGGGCCACTATGAAGGGTAGACATTAGTGGGTTCTCCGAATGAGCTGGCCCAGCTTCCCCGCGGCTTAGGGCAGGTGCGCTTTGGCCCTGACGTGGAGTGGTTGCCACCGGAGATTTTGCCTGGACTAGAGGTGGACGAGGCAACTTTGCAAATCAGACTCTGTTGGGATCAAAGTGATCAACAATCCTGGGACCTCAAACTACATCACGTTTGTGATGATATCTGTGCGATCAGATTGAAAAAGTTGATCCATCTTCGACATGCTTCAGATTGCTTCATCATTTCATAGCTGCTTGAAATGATGGTTGTTAACTTGTGTATAGTTTCAATCATAGCATTGGATTCTTGAGGCGGCATATGGCTCCCACCAAGCTGCTGCCTATCAAGTGGATGACAAGAAGAGCGAGGCCTTCTACTCTGAGGTGGGGTCTGGCCCATTAACCATCTTCTTTCAAGTTGTTCCATCTGCGAGCTGTCAGACTCGCGAAAAAGGGACCTGTGATGCTGGGTGCCCCGCCCATGTGCCAACTGCAGGTGCGCCGCTACTGGCCCAAGCTGCCAGATGGCGCATTAGTTGCTGACTACTCTGGAGTGCGCCCAAAGCTCTCGGCGCCAGGACCGCTCCGTGTTTGGCCAGCCACAAAAGCGGGGGTCAATGATGCCGCCAGGAGAGCCAGCTGCCGATTTTCAAGTGGCTAGTTATGGAAAGCCAGACCCTGAGATGTTGACAACATCAAACTGAAAGGAAGCCACGCTTGCGAAAACAGCCAGACTTCTTTTCAGTCACTGGAAGCAATGGAAAGACACACATTTGCTGTTGTTGTCCAGAAATGAGGGGACAAATGTGAAGAACCCTGTTGGCCAACCTCTTGGTTTCCTGTCACTTGGTATCCCTTGCCACTTGGAGACACGGAGAGTTCCCTTAAGGTTGGTGAATCTGTTTGGCATCGAAAGTCCTGGCCTCACCTCAGCCATGAGTTTGGCGGAAGAGGTGGTGCAGCTGGTGATGGAAGGAGCTGTGGGTTTCAAAAACTAGGATCTGGGGAAGGTCACGAGGCTGAGCTACAAGTGGGATTCTTGAAATATTTCACCTCTAGCTTATACCTTTGCAACTACTGGACTATACCCCTATAATACAGCTAGAATATGCAATACTAATGAATCTAATAAGTTGTAGATGGTATTCTCTTAAAATCATCTCCCCATCCGCAACCCATTTGTGGCTCTACAGGAGGCGAAGCACCTCACGACGCGATGCAGTAGGACTCTCCGCCGGATCTCGCGCGGCGAAACACAGCGGAGAAAAAAATGATGTCAGCCCTGGATTCATAAATTAGATTATAAGATGTTACATGATGTTACTGGGTATAACTATTTGGGGAGTCCCTATGGTTTATTTTGACATTACATTGGCCCGAGACAGCTCCCAGAATCTCAAACATTTACACCCGGCATCTCCGATCGTGCTGCAGTTTGTTGGTGTTGTCCATGATCTATGCGATGTTTGAAGCTTCAGCCACGACCCTCCTTCGAGGTGTGCTTCGCAGGGTCAAAACCCAGTGGTTGGGGCGGGTTGAGTTTTGGGGTTTAGTCACTCCTTATAATGCCAAGAGAGTATAAATTCTTGCCTTGTTCATCTCTGTATGTCGTTTGCACGGAGATATGACAATATACATGACCTAAATAGAAGATACTGTATGGGCAAACATGATATTACCGTGAATAAGAATACACCTTGTTATTCTGATGTAATGTACAGTAAGTAGCAGTTTTTCTTTCACCAAAACACCCGCGGCATTCCCACAGCTGGACTCAAGCCCTGCAGGTGGGAACCAATTGTGGGGAAGCCGAGAACTGTGGAGACAAACGACTTCTGCTGATTCTTTTAATTATCGGATTTGGTGGCAGTATTTATTTCAAAGATTATGCCATTTATGGGGGAGGTGAATAGTGCAGGGTACGGACATTTTAACAAGCAATGCTTTGCCATCGGTCTTGGTTTGATATACATGATATACAACATGTATTTCCCAACAGGGAGCAGCCCCACAACTGGTGCTTGACACACAATGTAGGCACTACGTTGAGGGACAAAGCGCACTCAGCGAGGCCAGGACTTGTGGAAGAGTCGGGCCTGAAAATCTGGCTTGTTGATCATTTGGGGTAGCATTTTAGCAGATCACACTGGGGGGCACCCCCAATTTTCATCAACTGTTGGATTTATGAATCTGTTGAAAAAAAAGACGTGAGATTTTGCTGCCGCAGGTGGCATCATCGGTGATGCAAACAATGGGAAGCACTTTGAAGGTGCCAGTGATGTTTTCAGGGAAACATTTGGATGGGCCAAAATTCACAGTATCTACGTAACAGCATGCGAATTTGGGGGATGAAGATCTATTTACATTTCTATATATATATATATAATTGGATAAGTGGAATAAACGAAATACATGGAGTAAATGGAATAAATGGAACAAATAGAATAAAAAGAATAAAATGAAAAGATATGGCCGTGGTCACCCCTCAAGATCTTCCGCATATATATATATATAACTATATATATATATGTATATGTATATATATATATTATATTATGTACACACACACACATACATCTCCGATGGTGGCAGGCCATGATCTCTACGCCGCCGGAAACTCAGCAGGATTGCAGAATCGAGTCATTGCTAATGGACCCACAGAATTGGTATTTTTTCCATTTTATGTCATTTTTTTGTATGTTGAATATCATTTACTGAACCATCCATTTTGTTTGAGATCAACTTGCATCAACTTTCATGAATTTCCATCAACTTTTGCTTGTCTCAGCCATTTCCCGCACTTACTGTATGAGTCATATTTGCTTCGGCCCAGGTCAGTATTTAAGGGTTGTAGAAGATCCCATTTTGGGATACAATGGTACAATGACTTGCTCCATACCCATACAAGACATCATTATTATTTGTTTCAAATTGCCAAAAAGTGATAAACATTGGCCATTCTAATCCATTATGGAAGCTTAGGGGATAATGCGGGCCATTAAAATTAATCCTCTCTAATTCAACATAGCTATTGAAAATAGCGATATATAGTTACTAATAATAAAGTTGATTGAAGTTGATCTTAATATTCAAAATGGTGATTGTTCCAGTTCGCAAACTGATCAGGTGGATAACGCTTGGCCTTCTGGCCGTTGTCGTGCGAGCCTTGGTCACCGAACGGTCCGGGGAGAAGTGGTTCAATGGGGTTGTCTGCTGCGGTTCAATGGGGTTGTCGTTACTCCACAGGAACACTCAATTTTATACATACATACACATATGTATACATATATAATGTTTATATGTTTATCTAGTATATCTGTAAGAAAGATTACCAGCCACCAAAATTATAATCTGGGAACCCCTACCAACCAAAGACGAACGGGCACTCAGCCGTAATCCTCCAGCACTTCGCCTGACATTGGCTGCTGTTTTGGCAGTACCCCATCCCCTAACATCAACATCAAATAACATCAAATAACATCAAATAACATCAAATAACATCGAAATGAGGGACCCTGAAATGAATAGATCCAATACACAACCAGTTTTTCTTGAGGGGGTATTTATTAGGGAGGGGACAGCCGACAGCCCCGACATCCCCCAGATGCTCTTCCTGGTCATCGTAAGCTGGTGGACTCGGCCTCAATGGATAGCAGTTCAGTGGAGGAGTTGGTTCATCGGTTCATCAAACAGTGCATTTTTTTCTACTCTGAATTCAAACTGTGTCTCTACTTTTGCACTGCGTTTTCTTCTTGTTCTGGAGAATTGGAGATTTTGGAGGGACCACCAGGGACCACTAAGAATGGGCCATGCCTGACGGTTTTTCATTCTCGTGCATAGTGCTGGAAATTAGGTCCCTCGCAATGCGAGAGACCAGCCCTGCGGCTGGATGGCTCAGTTGCTATGTTTTTTGTTTTTCTGAACACAGCGATGACCCAACATGTATGATATGTAGTATACACACATAATCACACATATATTATGTACAATGTATATATATATATATATTATATATATCTATAGATAGCTTAATGAAACCTTCAGTGAGTTGTACCCTTATCTAGAACTGGACCCAAGTTGTATTCAGATCCTGCCTTTTTTATCCCACCACTAAAATTGACTGCAGACTCCTGACCGCGCACCGCGCGCACCCGCTCCTCCCGAGAGGCTCGTCGGAACCGTGGCCACCACATGGGGGTTTCCATACATGGAAGTACCCCAAAATTCATGGTTTTTTTCACTGTTTATAAGGGAAAATCCTCTTGAAATGGATTAAAAATGGGTACCCCCATCTGAAAGGAAACCCCAAAAAAACACAATCCCAGGAGTACTTGAAGATTGACCTCCTTTGATCTATCCGAAAAAAGCTTGTAGCTCTGATAGCACGGTATGGTTTGAGATTTTGCATCGGTGCTGTGCGATGAGCTGGGGAAGTGCAAGCAGATTTTTCGTTGGTCATGATTGTGCTTGGCCGCCCCATTTGCTCAGCTTATGGCTACAAGGCAGAAGAATCATGAATCGCGGGCCCGGAAGGGAACGACCTGTGAGCGAACGATTTGCTACAACAGAGACTTGCGACATGAATTCAACCTCAATGACAGGCAGCTAAACACCTTCGTCACAAGTGCACAAGGGTTTGGATTCAGACAGGCTGGGCGTTGGACTGTGCAACATCCACGTTGATCACAAGTTGAGCATTGCTTCACTTGCGAAGCAGGTCCCAGAACTGAAATGGTAGAGCCAGCACTTAGGACAATGAGGACTGCCAGAAATGTTGCAAGATCCAACATATCAAGCAGCACTTGAAAGTACTCCTGTAAGCTGACATATAGGTCTTGGCAAAGCCCCAAGTTGTTCTATCTCCAGTGAAGCCCCAAAAAAAAACCCATGGCGGTGTTGATTGAAACCAACCTGGGCGACCTGGTGATCGATCTGAAGGCACAGTCGGCAGCGAGGCTTTGGAAATGGCTTCAAGTACTGTAGATTCTTGGGAGAAGTGTTGGAAGTATTGTAGAGTGGGTACGGTTCAAAACGATCCGGCCCGCAAATAGGATGGTTTCATCCTACGAATGACCAATATATTTTGAGGGTCCATGAAGGTCTAAGAATTAGTATGGGCCACTGCTGCCACGGGCGGAGAGGTAGATCATGCTCCACGGACGTGTCTCAACTTTCTGAAGCAGCGCTGCCCAGCACTAGTGGAGGGAGATTTCTGTTTGGGCTGATGTTTTCATGCATCACATGTGTGAGGCAAACATATTCTTGCTGGGTTTGCTTGTACCGCTGGCATGGCATTAGCAGCTTTGAACATATTCATACCTATATAAAAGTGTACACTGACACATGCCCATGCTAAGTGTGACCAGCAGCTCATGGTTCTCGGGCCGGGGTTTTATTGCCGTGGGACGTTCATGGAGTATGTGGTAGAACCGCAAAGGAAACCAGATCCATCCTGTCTGCTTTGTCAAGTAAATTTGCATCAACAAATATTTCTTCAATGTGAGTTTGTCGAAAAGTGTGGTCTACCCACTGGTTACTTATCATATTGCCCATTCAAATAGCCCTATTGGGGTTATGCCCCATTTTGAGACACATGTTGTCACTTGCTCAGTCTCGGCTCCTAGGCTCTGCAAGATGAAGTACTACAACAACTGCCTCTTCCTGTCTGTGGGGTCATGGGCATGTTGGAGCTGTTTGCAGAATGTTGTGGGGCATCATTGAGAGGAATCACTAGAAGCCCTTGGGTAGTTGATGTTAAGAGACTCGAAAGCGAGATGTCGTTAACAGGCAACCAGCACACCGCAATTAAAACAAAAAGGATCTCATCCACCAAAATAAAGTGGATGGCTCAGGGATATTGTCATTCAAGACTAACATAGAACTCGCACATCGCCAACCATAGGAAAATGATATTCCGAAGGATTTCCAAAACCATTTCTTGATTTTCCACATGAGTTTTGTGGCGTTTCTTGTTTTAAGATCCTGTCCACCATGGTCCGCAGGTCGAGAAGGATTACATTGCTCGAACAGGTGACCCCACCAACACGGGACGAGGCTGGAGGGTTGACCGTTGCCAGAGCCAGAGGGATGGGATGATGTCAGACTCCTTTCAGAATCATATTTTATCCCTTCTCAAAATTTCAGAATCGTTTGATAAAAGAAGCATAAACATATGGCAGTGTGTCAAAACCTTGTACCCCTGGTGAACATCAAAATAGCTGGTAAACGGATGTTCATCCCCCTAAAAATGGTATTAATAGGTAT